CCAATTATCTCATAAAAAACAGCAATTAGCATTTAATTGTTTCTTTCACAGCCACTGATCAGATCTGACGAACGTTTTCTGGAAATAATGAGCAGAAAGGAACATGTATGAAGGGCTTTATATATGGATGAGACATGGCTGGCTAAACCAATAATCCTGAAACAAGGAGGCGAACCGTAGAAGAGTCAGGATCCTTCTGCTCTACTGACGAAGAAACATGTCTGTACATTGAAGGGGATCACTTTCTAAAATGAACTGGTTCGCCGGTTCAGTCATACCTAAAGGTAAGCTCAACATTTCAAATTCGTTTGCCGATCAAATACTTGTCAACCTGATTTCATGGTTGTTTACGGGGGTAGCTAATGAGAAGCAACAGCTCATTACAGATCATTTTTAATGAGCGCGAGGCAGCTCTAGCGCATAAAATGATGCGAGAAGCATCTGGTACATACTAAAATCGCCACCTAGGAATCTAGGAGCAAGTAGGTTGTGTAATACCTCATAAAATTTGGCTTTTGAGGAGCGATGCGTCACGTCATGTAACTGTTAGAAATGTTTTTACAGAAGCGTCACGTAAAAAAGAGGCTGACAAAAGTGATCAAGGACTAGAGAGAGTTTTCGATAACTGAGCTTACCATACTCAGCTTACCGGCACAGAGTGTGTGTTACTGCAGTGCAACCGTAAAATGTTTACTTGCACATATGCAAAGATAGGAAAACCAAAAACACCTTTTAAAATTGCTGACACGAACGTGACATTTTGACAATAAAAGAATACACGCTTTTATATGTATTATTAATATTACCACGATATTAACTCTTACTTTTTAAGAGATAGACTGATTTCACGTAACAATAAAAAGATAATAACCAAATACGGTCGTATTATCAGTAATCACCTGGTACGGAAGGGACAAGGAAGCAAAAACATACGGTGTTTTTCGAAAGGTGTGTGTTCAATGTAAACGTGTTCAGTAGACCCGGATAACATGCGCGATGCAAAACCGTTAGACGATTATTTCCTCAATCTCCAAGTTAGACTCAATCCAGGTACAAAACAACGAAGTCTTCATAAAGTACAGATCTTCATGTAGTGGGAGACGTGATAACTTTGTGCACATGCATTGCATCTTGAACCATACCCACCAATGGCACCATCCACTAAAAAATAAATAAAAAAACTACCCGCGCCTCCGGTGCATTTGACAGCCTGTCCAATATTTTGGCTAGAAAGAAATACCTTTCCTACAAAAATCCACTGTACCTCAAGTCAGTGTTGCTGTACGCCATGCAAACAACAGTTCTAATGAAGGAGCAAGAAAGACGCTTGACGTTTACAATAGCGTTGGTTTCGACAAATAATGAGGGCTAAGTTGGAGGGATATTAAAGGATGACAGAAATCTTTACTGAGCACGGATGACCTTTATACGCGTAGAGGCTAAGAAGGAAATGTTAGTTGGCCTTGTTTGAGGAACTGCCTGAGCATAGATCATATACTCCAACCCGCAAGTTTGTCACGTGGCAGCAGCTGAGAGACAACAAACGTTGAAAGAGGTACAGCAATCATAATTTGC